ACTGTTAAAAATTGATGACGTCAATTTTTTTAACTCAATTTTTAGCAATTCTAGACCACGTAGCGCAAAACGGAGAAAACCATTGAACTCCCCGTGACGAGCTGCATCGAATCGATACCCATTTTATGCAAAAATATTAACTTTGAAATTTGACCGAATTTGACCTGACCTTGACCTGACCTTGACCTGACGTTCACCAAAACATAATCTAAACTGACCCCAAGGGCTGCCTGTCCCACATAATCGCATTTGGCATATAAAATGGACCATAAAACATGCATCACATGATATTTTTAATTTGTGACCCTCAGTGACCTGACCTCTGTGACCTGACCTGGTATCAGTGACCTCAAATGGCAAAATATGTGTTTGACGAACATTTCCCCATCGATGATTTTCAATGAAATGCATTTTTTCGATTTTACAACGCATTTCTTGAAATGCCTGTAAACGGTGAAAATTCGACCTTTGACCTGACCTGTGACGTCATCGGTTCGACCTAGGTCAATGAAATTCGGTCACAAGGTAGTTCCTCATTGGGGCTATCTAAAGCCGTTTGCCGCTTGTCGCTATGTTGCGTGTTTCTCGAGATCTTGGGAGGGGGGGGCCAAAATGCCCCCCCCCCATCAGACCGCGTTGCTCGGCAGACCCCATCAGGGCGCGGGTTAAATAGGCTACAAAGGTTGAAAACAATCATTTATAAGTCATTAATTAATGAAAAGCGAGTCATTAATTAGAGCTGTAGACTGATGGTACGCGTCCCTCCTGGGTAATCCACTGGATCCGAACGGGTGACCCTCAGCCATCTCACCTGACCACAGGACGTGAAGATCGACTCTGAGGCCGAAGGACGACCATTTCCCGGAATATAAAGGGCCACCGTTGCCGGCAGCTGCGTCCTTCCCACATAATGGTGTTTGACCCTCCACCTTCCGAGCCGCGCTATGGAAAGATACCCCTGGTTTGCCGATGAGAACGGTCATGTGCCGCTTCCAAAACGTCGCCTCATGCTACAACACAAAGGTCGTGTACACAACTTACTCGCAATAACGTATGCTTTTATCGATAAGATTCCCATGCGTAACCACGGTTACATAGTAACTAATGCCAATGACGTAATAGGTGTTCTTGAAATGATATGAAGATTTTTCAGTAGTAGATAGTTTCAGCAAGAGACAGAGAAACAGTGAATTTCTGGGCCATGTCAATGTAGCAACACGCGGTAAGCGACATTCGAAAGAGCGCCGAAAGTCATGAAAAAATACTTCAGCAAATTTTTAGGTCAGGCCAACAACCAGGTCTCCGGAGGTCATCTAAAGGATTTTTTAGACGATTTTTTATTTTGAAAAATCGGCGCTAGCCCGCTGGGGTGCCCCTGGGGTCTCTCTGTGTGTAACGCGCCCCACGGAAGGGAGGACTATTTATAGCCACTAACTCCGAAACCACTTGGCAGTTGGCAGACTGTAAAAATTAAAACGATGCCTGATGGCGCTGGAAAAAGTTGTCGAGGGAAACCTAATTTCATTGACCTCGGTGTCACCGATGACGTCACAGGTCAGTTCAAAATAAAAATTATTAATATTTGGCTTGTTCACAATTTGGGCTCTGGCCGCCGGCTTACAAGTCAGCTCAGTTTCAATTTTGGTGTACACACTCGGTACTAGATACTTAAGATACCCTGCGGCTGTCAAACTTGATCTTTGATTTTAAGGTCAAGGCCAGGTCATCCCAGGTCACGGAAATATAACAACATTCAGTGGTTACGTGACACATGTTTTATGGTCCACTTAGGCCATAGGCTTCGAACTCAGTCGTTTGTGCCATTCGAGGTCATTTTCAGCTGAATATAGCTGAGGTTAGGTCACTTTCAGGTCAAAAAGGTCAAACTTTTAAGTTGAAAGTTTTCAACAAAAAATGTATTTATCGGATGTAGTTTAAGCTCAGGAACACGATGGTGCTATTTATATTGGTGTACATACGATGTAAAAAAAAAAAACGCACTGAAAAGTTGATTTGAAAAATATATGATAGTGAAATTTTAACTATAGGTAATGCGTAGTTATAGCTTAGCTATTTTTGAAGATATCGGGCTAAAACTTTCTAGAGTAGTTCATCGGTATGTGTTCTGTATACTCTGAATTTAAATCTTCAAAAAGACAAAAACTTTTAGAAAAGGCAAAGTATAATTTTTAGATTTTATATAAAGGATTTTTCAAAATCTTGAATATCCGAGAGAGCAGTTTTATAGCCATATGTATTTTAAGTCCTCTCATGCAAAGAAATTGGACCTATCTAAAAAAACTCAGCTCTTGAGAGCGATTACCGTAGCTCAATGTTTTGCATCAAAATCGGCCGAACATAGCGTCACTCTGACGTCATTTCCGGCCGACCTATGGTAGCTACGAAGTTCTGGTTTTGACACAAGATGTTAAATTGATGTAGCCGAAGGTATTGAAAGTTTTGCGACGATACGCCAAACGGTTTAGAAGTTATTGCAGAAAACGAGAGGGGATGGGGGCGGGGAATAAACAGCCCTCTCAAGTGGGACGCGGGCTAACTCGGGAACGAACAGAGCTACCGCACCGCGGAAAACGCTTTTGGTAGCTCATTCAACATCTCTCTGGGGTGAACTCTCAGGTATGACCAAGGTCAACGGTTTAGCCTGCAGAGTTTTTTTTAAGGTAATGTTTTTTTTAATGTTTCCTTTCTGCAATAGCATTTGCTTTAAACTTGCAGCACATTGATTTTACCGGCATCGTATCATTCTCGTCGAGACGTGCCAAATGTAGGTAGGTACAGTAATATACCATAGCATTGAAAGATCATTTGGAAAATCTTATCTCAGGTCAACATTACACCCTGACTGGAAAAGGCCATGCTGCGTATCAGTCGATTCGTATCGTTGGGCTGAACACATCTATGGTGTTTTCATCGCTCTAGCATGTCTCTATCATAAGTTATTGTATAAAAAAAAAACTGTTGGAAACCTTTTATGACCTCAAAGGCATACAAAAGGCAATGTGTGCAATATTCCGATTCAGTTTGTCATGTTTACCCATTACCCGATATTTGTGACTGTTCACAATGGCTTTCGTTCAAAAGCGTCGCAGTTTAATTTTCTCCCATTGGCTTATACTAGAGAGGTCGCAAAATTACCTGACCTTAGGTCACCAATAGGTAAAGGAAAATTCAAGAGGTATCTTCGTTTTCTACATCTTTCCACTCTTATCAATCGCTCTTATCAATCAATAGTTCAAAAACGATCGTTCGGTCAGTTTAGCTGTTGCATAAGAACTTTTTCTGAGACAAGGCGTGACCTGATGACCTGACCTTGAGCGACCTGAGTCTGAAAATTGTACATGTGTTGAAAAGATGTGCTTCCATTAATGGGATATTCGCGGAACATCGCATTGGAAGGGTAGGTTCAAACACCCCGGCCCGGCGTGGGTTAACAAAATGATGGGACAAATAGAAATAGTCAATGAAAATGAAAATAGGCGGCGTTTGCGGTCGGGACTTGAGTCAGATCATATCATTCTGGATCAACACACATTTGACAGAGTTCTGTGGGTTTTGTGTTGGACATCAGGATCAGAATCTTTGAAGTTAAAGGGACAGTATCATCGAAAAAAAATCAATGTGGCCGTTTTCACGACGGGCTATCCGGCGAATGCACCTGACTTGATCAAATCTGCACGTTATTTCTTTTACAGCAAATAGCTTCATTTTATGAATTTATTTCAGTGTTTTAATCGATGATGCTCTCTGAAAATATTATGACAAAGCAGGCATATAAGCAATTAGTGCATATAAGCTAGTAGTGCTAGCTGATAGCTGCTAAGAGGACACACTGAACCTGATTTGACCAATTATGCACCTTATCTGTACCGCCTGTGCACCAAATGTGTACCAGACGGCCGTCGTGAAAACGGCTTGTATGGAGCTGATTTTTTTTACTAGCATTTCTTATTTTTCTGAATAAGAAAAACATAGTTTGAGGACCGAACTCGGTGAAAAATATTTTTTCATGAGCGAGTCATTTTCATGAGCGAACCACCACTACAAGCATGGCCGCCACTTTGGAAGCCTGCGAAATTACTACAGAACTGGCGCAGGTAATACATTATTGACGCTACGCTTACGCGGCCGCTCTTCTGATTGAGTTGTCGTTGAGATCGAGACTGATCAGATGACGTCATACATATACGTCATACATTGGAGGGAGATTGTGATTCAAGCTGGAGGAATTCCTTTGTTGAGCTGCTAGAATCCGAAGGAAACAGCGGAAATTGCCTACGACTATTTAATGAATTTAACGGTGATGAATAAGTGCGAAAAACGTTTTGGCTTTATAAAATTTGATGAAATGACCAGGGTAAAAGTTTTATTACTGGCGGTCAATTCAAAACGGCGCAAACATTTAAACAGTGAAGATAGTGAAGCACGATTCAAAGTGTAGTACACCTTTCGTACTTTGAGCGGCGATAGCGGGATAACGGTGTGGAGCTTCGAGGATCGGTCTTCAGTTCCCGGACCAGAAAAATGGGGCCTATGCAATGTCAAATTTCATCAAAATGGTGATACTGTCCCTTTAAGAATGTTTTTTTATGGCTTAGTAGATTGCTGAAGGCCTAGCGGAAGCATCGGTGAACATTTTAATGAATCATGGGCAATAGCCACATAAGTGCCCCTTTCATTCGTGGAATTTTGCAAGTTCTCTGCTCCCTATCCTATTGTCAATATACCGGCCACCCGCACAACATTTCACTTCTGTTACATCATTAATCTTAGTTACTATGTAACCGTGATTACGCATGGGGCACGTATCATTTAAAACCAGTGTATTTTATGTATACACATCGTTTTTAGCAGCATATGCGAACATTTTGGAAGCGGCACATTACTATTCTCATCGACAAACCAGAGTTATCTTTCCCGGTGTGGGAGGTGGTGGGAGGTCACGCCATACTGTGAGAAGGGACGCAGCTGCCGGCGACAGTGGCCCTTTATCAGCTGGAGGAGGTCGCCGCTCGGCCTCAGAGCGGAGCCTCACGTCTTACAGTCAGGTGAGAAGAAGGTCAGACACTCGGGCAGACTGGGGTGGTGGAGAATGAGGACAGACTTCATATCTACAGGCAAGTATAATATTTGTTATGACTTTTTTTATCGAATTAAGAAATGTAAAAAAGTCGAAAGTGATGTATTCTAATGAGTGAATTTTTGCCCACAGGACATTTGAGGAAAAGGCATTCTTAATTCGAGGACAAGGTCATCACAAATATTATACTTTATCATAGCGAGATGTTCCTCGCGAGAGCACTCAACAGCATATCCTCTACAGACAAGTCTTGCTTATGACCTAAGACGCATTATTTTGTGTTCTCTGCGCAATAATGTTTTCTGTTTGTTTCGGACAATTAACCCGCGCCCCAGTGGCGGTCTCAGCCAACTTCGCCCTAGTGGGGGGGGGGGGGGGTGCATATGTTACCACCCACGTCTAACTCAAAAACTAAGAAGGCTTAGAAAGACGCGGTAAAAAGCGGTCGATAGCTCTCGATGCGTACTTTTGAAAGTATTTCGGTCATTTTTCATCTTAGAGCAATATTGGGGTTACCAGAGGTCATCAAAGGTCAAAATTTGCGAATTGTCATTATATTTTTCAGAAAACATGCCATTATCTCAGGAACTATGATAGCTAGAAGAATGCTGGGAAAAGCAATCGATAGCTTTTGAACTCTTCTTTTGATAAATTCTTCATCAAAAATGACCTCAGGTCAACGGTTTAGCCTCCTGAGGGCAAAAACTCCAAAAATAGCTGTCTTTACGAACAGTTTTTCGACAATAACTTTTGACTAAAAAAAGCCACGACATTTCTATTGCCAGAATCGTGTTCCTCTCGCCGAGACGCGTCGAATGAACTATAATTTGACCTTGAAAGGTCAACTTCAAAATTTGCCCTCAGGTCAAGGTCATGACCTGACCAGAAAAGGTCATGTTGCATATCAGTCGATGCGGCTCGGCAAGACTAACACAATGAGGCCAACCCCAGCGTTCTATCTCTTTCCAATCGAGAGTTATTGGCAAAAAGCTGTTTGTAGCCTCAAATGACCTCGGATGACCTTTCTAGAGGCTATCAGCAAAAAAGACACCTTGGTCGTCACGGGTGGTCCAAATCATTGCTCGGTTCAGAAAGAGCAAAAACGAATATCTACAAAATTTCATCGAAAAATATTCACCGGTTTTCAAGATATTAGACTTTTACTTTTGTTTACTTTTTGGGATCTCCGCTGTTCCTAGCGACTTTATTTGAAAGTGCGGCATTTGTTGCGCGCAAAGCAGCATATACCACCGCGTGCTACAAAACGTTTTAGTCAAACATTTAAAAATCGTTAGATATCTGCCATGACGTCACACATTCAGAGGGGTATTCATATGCATTAGCCCCTCTGAATCAAAATGCTGCAATTTTGAAATTCAATATTTCCGATTTAAGGCATTTCTCGATGTTGTGAATGCCGAAACCGGTAATTGTGAGCCAGGGACCCCATTTTGGCTATCTCAACTCAAATCTAATGCTAAGGTGGGAGGGTCCCTTTAATTGCTTGTTCGGATTACACCCATTGTGTGTCTTTTGTTGTTATAACAGAATGAAAACAAGTTGAGCGAAGCACAATAAAGTTATAGGCTGGCGCTATCATCTACCGAGTCGTTATTGATGTCTATACGAGACCTATGCCTATAGGTTATTATGTATAACTAGGCTTGCATCATTATGCAAATAAGGTCCCAATGATAGGATGGCAGCGCTGGTGGCGCAGCTAGTAATTAGGCATTTGTTCGGAAATCGGGAGGAACCAAATCGGACTCCCGGAGCCGCTTGACCCCCAAAGCGTTCCCAGCTGCGACACAAATAGTGAGGTAGACTCTCGTAATTGCCGTTGCCTAAAAAAGGAGGAAAACGAGGTCACCAGTTTTTGGGTAGCAGTGGCCAACAATAGAAAAGAGAAGTAGAAACAATAGGTGGCCAAGGTCCCGGGCGCCCATTGTAAACGGACTGAACAGTAAATAATAAGGATTGCCGCATGATACAACAAATCAATTTGCTGACCTGCAATCATTGTCATTTCACCGCGCAGCCAATGAGCAGTAATCGCCACGCACATCGTATGTGGATCGCTCTTAAATGTAAATACAATACAATACAATACAATGAGAGCAGGTTTCCGCTAACGAATTTCGTTCGCCATGTTTTCCAGAGACCTGTCAGTATCTCGCCAAGATGCTGTACCAACTGCTGGCTGTCACGCTGTGCGCCGGCCTAGCCTCGGCTGGCTGTCCGACCAACGTCGAGTGGCAGGAGTTCGACGGCTTCTGCTACTGGCGCTCCACCTACGCCACCTCGTGGCAGCAGGCCGTCAACGCCTGTCCCACGGTCGGAGCTGGGGCCCAGCTCGCCTCAATTCACTCTCTGCTCGAGAACGCCTTCGTCATGCAGACCTACGATTTTGCCGACTCCTGGATTGGCTTCAACGACATCGAGACGGAGGGTCAGTTCCGGTGGTCGGACGGCTCGGAGGTGGACTTTACCAACTGGGCGCGTCAGCAGCCCGACAACCAGTTCGGCCAGGACTGCACGCGCGTTCCCCACCCCGACAACCCGCACGCGGCGGAGTGGGACGACTCTGGATGCGAAGAGGAGCACTTCTTCATCTGCAAGCTGCCCGCTACTGCCTAAACAGTTCCGGCGCCCGACGTTCACAGCAGTGTAATAATGACCAAGCAACTAGAACCATGTTAACCAGCGTGGTGGGAGAGCACCTCATAACTAGCTGGGATGCTAAGTAACTAAATAGTGACATTATGCATATTTACATGAATTTTTATCAAATAAACGAGTATCCATTACGAGTCTCACAACTTGCATATCTCGGATTTTTCCTAAAGGTCATATGAGGTCAGTTCATTTTCGTGACCTCACCATTATACATAAGTCAATGGGGAAAAATGAAAACCGCTATTCTGGCGCCGGGAACGATCTCCAACTATCTCAAGCACACAGAATCGTGATTTGATGCACTCCTTGCAAGGTTAGATGCGTCACTTTTGCCATGTTCACATTGCGTGACGTCATTTATGACGTCATCAAGGTCATGTTAATTTTTCGTCAATAACTCCCGATCAAATTAAGTCGGGAAAGGAGGTCCTGACCTGACCGTGACCTGAGGTCAACATCCTAAGTTGACCTGATCCAAACAAAAAGTATATCATTCGACGCGCCTGAGCGAGGCAAACACGATGCTGCCAAAATCGCGGCTCTGCGGCCGTTTTTTGCGAAGTTATTCACCAAAAACTGAACCGTACCTTGGGGCACTTGACCTGACCTCAGAGGTCACCGTTTGACCTAGGACCTTAAAATCGGGTACCAATCTCTGCGTCTCGTAACGGCTCACACGCTCGTTTTTTTCTGCGACGCGCTAGCTCCACCAGGGGCGAAACGGCGAGGGGGGTCGTACCCGCCCCCCCCCCTCGGCCAGCGCGCTTGTAGAAAGCAATAGGTCCGGCACCGAATGACTTGGACTGTGGATTGGGCATGTCATGGCCTACATTGTGTGCGAGTTTTAGCTTGATCGGAGGTGTCCCGAATCTGGGCTGAATCCGGGCTGAATCTGGGCTGAATATGGGCTGTCTTGACGGACATTAGGTCCGGCGAGGGTTAAGACGTTGACATTTTCTTACTCAAAATGCAGAATTAAGATATTTTTGACATTTTGATAAAAAACGGAATAGATGTCAGACATTCCCTTAATGCATTTACACATGCCAAAAGTCAACAAAATATTTCTTAAACTGCCAGAGATATAACCATTTGAAAGACTAAGAACATTTTGACTGCTTTTATTACGTCGCATTATTGTCAGTATTGTTTTTACTTAAAATCAGTCTAGAGCAAAAATTATCCTTCCAGGCGGTGGGGGGGGGGGGGCATTTTTTGCCCCCCTTTTTTTTTTCGATATATCTCGAGAACCACTGCGCCGATCGTCACCAAACTTCAGTACTCTCCCGGGAGTAGCTAGCGCACATGGTGACCAAAATTTTTTTTCCAAAGGCTATGATAGGTTGGCCGCTAATGACGTCAGAGTGACGTCATTTTTGCCATTTTCGACCCAAAAAAAGGTTTCGCGGGAAGAGCTGTCAGGCCTACAGCTTTAGAGATACAGAAAAATGTTCCGACATAAAAGGTGTGGAATCAAAAGGGCTACAAAACTGCTATTTCGGCTTTTCGAATTTTTTGGATTTTGACCCCCAAAAATCAAAAAATATATTTTTTGAATATAATAGCCAAAAAATCCAAAAGGTTTTTTGAATTTCGAAAAAACGGAATATATGTGATAGTCCCTACCGCCTTCTATCTACATACCAAATTTGAGATCAATACCTCTTTTTTTGGCCAAGTTATAGCGAAAAAAACTGTTCAAAATTGATGACGTCAAATTTTCAAACTCAATTTTTAGCAATTCTCGACCTCGTAGCGCAAAAAAAGACCACCATTAGACTCCCCGTGACGAGCTGCATCGAATCGATACCCATTTCATGCAAAAATATCAACTTTGAAATTTGACCTTTTTTGACCTAACGTTGACCTGACCTCCACCAGAAAGTGACCTAAACCGTACCTGATGGTCTTATAACCAATACCATTGAGTTGGAAATGAAAAACTGGCCATAAAACATGCATCGCACAACCTTAGTAAAGTTGGGTTCATGTGGTGACCCTTGGTGACCTTTGGTGACCTGACCTGTGACCTGACCTGGTATGACCAGTGACCTCTAATTGCAACATATGTACTAGAAAACTGACGCCTTATCGCTGATTTTCGATAAAATGCGTTTTACTCGGTGTTATAGCGCTTTCCCTAGAAGCCCCGTGAACGGTGAAACATTTTATCTTTGACCTGACCTGTGACATCATCGGTGACCCTGAGGTCAATGAAATTTGGTTTCCTTCGACAAATTTGACAGGGCTATCGAGCGCCGTTTGAATTTTCCGGATCCGTCCAGTAGTTTCGGAGATACGAGGGGGGGGGGGGGCAAAAAAATGCCCCCCCCCCACCGCGCGGAAGGTGGCTGGGAGGCCCACCGCCTGCCGGGTTATGATACTTATTCACCTCTCTAAGCATGAACGTTGTCGTTTCTTTGGCGATAGAAGTCACCTTTACGTAATGAAATGTTTTTGTCATCGTAAGCGGGTACCTACGATGTGAACTTTTTTACCTTCCTGTGGCGTCATAGAGCCAAGAAAAATGATCAAAGAGGTCTCTGTGGCTGCATATACCGGGTGGCCCAGAAAAAACGTTCCGAACTTTGGAGGCTTATATCTCAAATTCGAGTGCAAATAACGAGCCAAAATTTTTATCAAGGTTGCGTCATTTCTTTGCGCATTGGTATGCCAAATTATAACACTGTACCATCATTTTCAAGCTGACAATCTTAAGTTCAATTAAGCAAGACGTTTTTGCTTTTTTTGCCGATATCGAACGATAGTGATGATTGGGTTAGACGTTCCATGCTATAAAAAAGAATAGAAAATTAGAGCACGTGAATGAAACCAGCACGTATGTTCTTATTTTAAATATTTTTGTATCAATTATGTGCCAAATATATTGAGCCAAAATGGTGCTCATGGATGCCATTCGTTTCAACACCAAATCATGTTTCAAGCAGGAGTGGCGTGGTACATGGACTGCTGCTGATTGCCCTCCTTTCAGTAGATCAAACAGTAAATCGACCGGATAAGGATAACAAACTTAAGCAGACTGGTTCCTGTACCAGAAGACCACAGAATAACTCATGAAAAACAACAAAGCCAGCAGATCACAAAAAAAAACTGGTTGAAAAGCTACCTTTTCCCAGGGATGTCAGCCAGGAAAGCATTTGAGCCACAAGATGGTTAAAACACTGGAAACTTCTTCCGATAATGTTGCCGCTGGCACAGAGCCATCGTGGTTGCCTGAGGGAATGTGTCATCCTAAGGCCAACACTATCAATGAGACTAGCTGCCAGTGGCAGTCCTGGCTGTAGGCCGCGATGCCGGGGTGAAAGTGCGAAGGTGAAAGTTTCCTGCTCGAAGCAACCCGTTCACTCACATTTTTTAGTAAACATCGGAGCAAAAAAGTATTTTTTACATGGCATGCTTGAAACACAAACCGTTCAAAAAGTAATTTACCGAATAGCATGAAAATCACACCATTTACTGAACACATGTGCCGCATTGACTCTTCGAAGTTTCGAAGTTGTATCTTTATCAGTTTCTGAGGAATATTGACTTAAAGTTGGGAACGTTTTTTCTGGGCCACCCGGTATATGACATGTCTTCATAAAGACTCGAATATTCACAATTTCACAATTCAGCATGGCGTTCCATATGATTCATGCAAGTGTCTTCTGATTGGTCGAGGCTGACCTCTTTTGTGACATCACAAGTCAACGTCCATTCAGATGACTATCAAGATGTCAGATCTATGATATGCGTCATATCCAAACTCATTTTAGAAGCTTAGATTTCGTTTTTTTTTATGACCAACTTCTCGGCACTGAAAAATGGACAGATTTGACCTTTTTGGCCTTCCTGTGACGTCACAGGTCAAATATCGAGTTCATCGATATTATACCTTGTGCATCACTCCAACAGGACCTGGAACCTGCCAGACCTCAACGGGGCGCGGGTTAATCTGGACCTTCCCTTAAATTGTCTTTTTAACCTTCGCCGCAGTGGGGGGGGGGGGGCATATGTTACCACCCTGTCGCGTTTTTTGCGTGTGAATAAAAACCGCGGCGCGTAGCGCCGCGCCGCTTGGGGTAGATTTTGGTACATCAATTTTGGACAATGTGTGAAATTTTCGACCCCAGGTCATGTCAGGTCAGGTCACCAGGTCAAGTTAACTGACCAAGCCTAAAAAAGTTTGCAATCATGCCCAGCCTGCAGTGTTTGTCAGAAAGGTTTTAAACTTGGTGGATTGCATGCTGTTATGGGCGCCTACAATTTGTATATCTCGGATTTTTTATATTGGTGACCTAAGGTCAGGTCAGTGGCGTGATCTTTTCATTACAAGTCAATGGAGAAAAATGAAAATGCCTTTAGATCCGTGTGTACGCATAGGAACAGTCCAAATATTTCAGAATAACAATGATTTGGACCACCCGTGATGACCTAGGTGTCATTTTTGCTGATAGCCTCTAGAAAGGTCATCCGAGGTCATTTGAGGCTACAAACAGATTTTTGCCAATAACTCGCGATTGGAAAGATATAGAACGCTGGGGATGGTCTCATTGTGTTTGTCTTGTTGAGACGCATCGACTGATATGCAACATGACCTTTTCTGGTCAGGTCATGACCTTGACCTGAGGTCAAATTTTCAAATTGACCTTTCAAGGTCAAATTATAGTTCATGCGACGCGTCGCGGCGAGAGGAACACGATTCTGGCAATAGAAATGTGGCTTTTTGTAGTCGAAAGTTATTGTCGAAAAACACTTTTCGTAAAAACAGCTATTTTTGGAGTATTTGCCCTCTGGAGGCTAAAACGTTGACCTGAGGTCAATTTCGAGAATGACCTTATCAAAAGAAGAGTTCAAAATCTATCGATTGCTGTTCCATGCGTTTTTCTAGCTACCATAGTTCCTGAGATAACGGCATGTTTTCTGAAAAATATAATGAAAATTGGCAAATTTTGACCTTTGATGACCTCTGGTGACCCCAATATTGCTCTAAGATGAAAAATGACTGAAATACTTTCAAACGTACGCATTGAGAGATATCGACTGCTTTTTACCGCGTCTTTCTTGCCCTCTTAGTTTTTGAGTTAGAGGTGGGTGGTAGCATATGCCCCCCCCCCCCACTAGGGCGAAGTTGGCTGAGACCGCCACTGGGGCGCGGGTTAACTTGTTTGTACTGTGACCAGCTAGTGTGCCTTTTTCTGATATTAATCGCATCTACACTTACAGTGGCAAGTGGCAAGACTTCTTCATAATCCTCCCTTTTGCTTTTAGACACCTCATGAAGCCTCAACCTAGACATTACACTCACACATTCTCATCGACAAATCGGGGCCATCTTCTCCTACTGGGGGAGGGGGAGGGGGAGGGGGATCGGTCATGATGAGAATGGCACAGAGCTGTCTGCGGCGCGACGGCTGTCTACACCCGGAGGCTGGTATCTGGGACTTAGTGGGTCGTCCTTCCGTCGGCCTCGGAGCAACGCTGCGCGACTGACGATCAGGTTAGAGGAGGGGCTACTTGCTTGGCCTGTACTCTGTAGGGGTAGAAACATGCTTTTATACGTCTAAATGATATTGCTTCGTGTTGAAGAACTCGTTGAATTTGGTGACTATGTAGTTTACTCTTGGAAAAGGTAAGATGTGCCAAGCGAAATCTTATGTAATATATGCTATTACTAACTTCAAGATAGGCAAGTGTTCAAACAACATGATCACATACCTATTACCTATGCATCTGGTTTTAATGCTACTTAACCATTTTTTTACGTTATTGATGCTGCAATGTCTCATGATAAGACAATATGTAAATCAGGCACTTCAGCCGAGAAGTATAAGTGCGCCAGTCTTTGCTTTGCCCATTTGTTGACGACATTGTCATGTCAATAATGGGGATATAACTTGAACTAGGTGCACTCATGTTGACTGCCGTTCGTTTTCAGAAACACAGGAGAATACCTACCTCATCAGTTCGCCACTATGCTGTACCAACTGCTGGCTGTCGCGCTGTGCGCTGGCCTGGCCTCGGCTGGCTGTCCGACCAACGTCGAGTGGCAGGGGTTCGACGGCTTCTGCTACTGGCGCTCCACCTACGCCACCTCGTGGCAGCAGGCCGTCATCGCCTGCCCCACGGTCGGCGTTGGTTCCCAGCTCGCCTCCATTCATTCGTTAATCGAGAACGCCTTCGTCATGCAGACCTACAACTTTGGCGACACGTGGATTGGGCTGAACGATATCGAAACGGAGGGCTCGTTCCAGTGGACAGACGGCTCCAAGGTGGACTTCACCAACTGGGCTCAGAAGCAGCCCGATGATTACCATGGCCAGGACTGCGTTCACCTGCCGTATATCGACAACCCGAACGGGGCCGAGTGGGATGATGAACATTGCGAAGAGGAGCGCCATTTCCTCTGCAAGCTGCCCGCCACTGCCTGAAGACATTGCTGCCGACCTTCACGGTGTATGTACTGTGCGCATGTATTTATGATGATCATAACCTAGCTACTTCAAAATTGGCGACGGTGTAGTGGAGATGCCAAATAAAATACAAATGTCGTTTGAAGAGGAAATTCATCCCTCCAAGCTCCAGCTCGGCTTGAATGCACCCATTTCATAACCAATGACCATTTCCCATTGCACTAGCACGTTTCACGACATTTCGACGGACCGCTCTTCGGGTGAGCCAGACATGCCATAGCTGTCCACCAATACTAAGACATCCAGTGTTCTATAGCAGTCAGTGCAAGAAGGTCCAAACCGCAGCAACGTGAAAACAGTTTAGAAGTGACCAATAGCTAGGAAGTGACAGTTGTAATACCGGTCGCGTGAACTTCTGCACACTGACGTCAAACCTGTCCATGGACAATTTTTAAAATTAGGTTCTACATGTTCACGTTCACGGCTTTTAGGTTCCCATCAGTCCTCAGACAAACCCATTTTCATACTTAATCGCAGCTCTCTCAGCACACCGTTCCCTCTTTTCCATCCTTAGGACAGTCTTTCTGCGGCAAGAGGAGCGTCATATTCAGGAATCGGGCCAACAAGCACGCCGCCCGAACTCAGTCTCGGTCCGAGGCACCGCCACCGCCACCGCCACCGCCTGTCCGAGGCACCGCCACCGCCACCGCCACCGCCTGTCCGCAAGGCACCGCCACCGCCACCGCCTGTCCGCCACCGCCTGTCCGAGGCACCGCCACCGCCACCGCCACCGCCTGTCCGCGAGGCACCGCCACCGCCACCGCCTGCCCGCGAGGCACCGCCACCGCCTGTCCGAGGCACCGCCACCGCCACCGCCACCGCCTGCCCGCGAGTGCCAGCTCTGCCGAGTCAATTAGATCTGTAGCTTTTATCATTTTGTATTACTTGATGATGTAATGGAATTTAAAGCTTGTTTAGACCCAAAACCAGTGCGAGAGAGAGAGAGAAAGAGAGAGAGAGAGAGAGAGAGAGAGAGAGAGAGAGAGAGAGAGAGCTCTACCCTCTTTCATTCAGATGTTTACCCGTCATATAAGCAGCTCACCCCACCCCCACCCCCACCCGCCCGCCCGGCCCCTCTCATGGTGCTGCGCCGGCGCCGGCGCGCCCGACGACCCCGTCGGGCCATCGGCGCCGACGGCCGTCGGCACCGACGGTCGTCGTCTCCGACGGCCGCTCTATCGATCGGCTCAGATCGGCAGCGATGGCGTGCCCCAGCGGTCGCGACGAGTCCCGTCGCGAGGAGCGTGCCTCCTCCACCGACGATCGCGGCGTGGAGCGTCTATTCGAACAGCAGCCGCGGCCCAACATCAAGATCGTGCGCATCCTCACCGTGCTCGGCTACGTGTTTTGCGTGTCCTCGGCGGCTATCATGCTGTCGTTGTACTACGTGTTCCTTTGGGACCCGTACACGATGAAGGCGGGTGAACCACTGGCGGCCGGCGGCCCGTACAGTACCAACCTGTCTGCCTGTGAGAGCTTCCGCTACAAGGTGCAGGAGAAATAGCGAGCATCTGGTGAGTACGGAGAGAGGGACGCGGGGTCGTTGGGTGAGGAGGGGGGGGAGGGGTAGTGAGAGAAAGTTCATCTGCTCACAGCATGGGCATTGGATAGGCAGGTATTGAACACACGATAGTGTCAAAGTATCAGCTCAAATGGCTTGATAGTAACTTGAATAACTAGTAGGTATCTAATGTCTCTTGCCCGGTCCATTCATGGATGGAGTCATAGTTAAGCTCTTATGCCTGTAGGCCAAATAAATAACGAGATCGTGGGGAAAAATCCCAAAATGGCTCAAACATCTTTGATAATGATACTATACTAACTATCTTTGATAATGATACATCTGAGATTGGTACAATTCACAAATTTTATGTGCTTTATTTAGCTTCCGTTACTCGCGATCTTTTTCATGTGGAAGATCGTTCACCTTTGGGCTTTGTGCTTTCCTAACTGTGTTCACGCACTGAAAACAATTTAATCCAAGGCCGGCGAGTAAACCGGTGTTTCACGGGTACCCCTATCCGCAACCATTTTTAACCACCCTCCCAGGAGTAGTGCTAGGTCCCATTGCGGTGTAGTCGTACTTGCTCTGAGCGGATATAACCGCTGTCAGCGAACATGTCCGCTGAGAGCAGGGACGACTACACTGCAATGGAGCCTTACTGTACTCCTGGGAGGATGGTTAAAAATGGTTGCGGATAGGGGTACCCGCGAAACACCAGTTTACTCGCCGGCATTTGGTTAAATTGTTTTCAGTGCGGCTTCTCCCGCGTGTTTGATTGCATGGTCGTGAGCATTTATGGTTGAACATTGAATGACATTTATAACCTCCCGCAGGTTTCGGGACATAAGTCTGTCTAACGAGTACGACACCCGCTGGCCGCTGAAGTCATGAGTCACCCTAACATCGAGTCGTGGAAATTAGCATATCCATTCTCCTTGTCGACTACACCGGACCAGCAGCGGAAGATTTACTAGATGGCAGCACCTTTGGAGCGCCAGAGGTCGGCACTGCTCGAGAGTGAACGGCCGTACTAAAGCCCGGTGCCGGTGGCAGCCAACGAAATTACGTCACAAAGGGTGGAGAGCCTCACTCGCCAAATGTTGTGGTCGAACAGTTTTTGAGGATAGTCGTGTAACTGAGTGTTGGAGATGTGACGAGTACCGAAATGGGTGTAACATTGCGTGAACTGTGAATTTCTGGCTGAACGACGTCAAGTTTCTTTATTATAAATTTCGGTGCTCTACGCAGTCACGCGGCGCTTGTCTTCGTCCGTCCCATCAATCCTCAGGACCAACCCATCCTCATTCTTGGTCACCGAAAAACCTGTTCGGCCTGACTGCCCACCATTGCAGTCCCGTCCCCAAGGAATAAGCTCAATCACTGCGGCGCGTTACATGGCTCTTTTCTATGCGGTGAAAACTGAAAAGGCATAAGCCAGCGAAGCAAAACAAGCAAAATTGTTTACCATCGCTTCCAAATCCGACCAATGGAGACCTGCACAACGCACATTGAGCTGTCCTTATCGCCAAACTTATTAGCGTCGTGCGTTAAATGAACTGTGAAGATAGGTATAATGAATGGTGATGCTGTAGGTGTCACTGTTGAGCGAGCTCGCGTTGTGCTCCTACGCATTGTTTTGAACAGTGCCCTTAGAGCCTTTATGAATGCTTGATTAGTGTCTTTCTGTTGAATAAATATATGGCGAGTCATACTGGAAGGGCCTTTGCACTATAACTACCTACCACTTCTAATGTCCCCACCGTTCCCAATCAGATATCTGCGAACAACGCCCGAACAGAGCTCAGAACAAGACGATTGCCTTGGTTCAGGCCAGGGACTAACCATTTAAAATGTAGGTACTGCTGAAGCATTTACACCTGCCTGCATGGACAGCCTGTCCCAGGAATAATGTAACATGTCTTCTGCACTTAGCTCAGCTGCACGTTTTTTTCATGAGCGTTGATGCATCTGTCGTATTTTATAGGGTACCTATGACGTTTTCAAAGATCCAGCGTCAATCTCATCGAGTCACTTTTCCCGGGGGCTGGATGCTCCTACTATGATTCATATGATCCTAAACGAGTGTTTACATCCAGCGTATGGTAAGTAATTTCTTTTCAATCCCTTACCTATTTCAATTTGACTTAACCCTCGCCCCGCTGGGGGGGGGGGGGCAATTTCCCCCCCTCCCCCTGTGGTTTTTCCTGAATAACAAGAAAGCGCCGCCAAATTTTCAGTACCTTCCCGGGCATCAATTTGACACCTTCGCACAAAATTTCAAGTCTTAGGTCACCTTAGGTCAGGAGTTATTGAGGTCAAACTGAGGTCATGTTCGAGCGAAAATGAGCAAAAAACATGAAATCTTGAAACGCTCACAAAATCTACAGTTACCAAGCAATTTCAAAGTTCTTTATATGGTCATGTAGACAAAAGGCGGCGCTACAAAATGGCTATCTCGAATGTTCAAAATTTTGGGTTTTTGCCCCTAAAAAATTCAAAAATTGATTTTTTTTAGAAAAACGTTTAAAAACAATTTTTTCCGAATTCCGAAAAAAAACGAAATATGTGATAGTCCCTGCGCTCTTCTATATACATACCAAATTTCAGATCGATACCTTCCTTTTTGGCCAAGTTATAGTGAAAAACTGTTCAAAATTGATGACGTCAAATTTTTGAACTCAAATTTTTAGCAATTCTAGACCACGTAGCGCAAAACAAAGACCACCATTGAACTCTCCGTGACGAGTTGCATCGAATCGATACCCATTTTATGAAAAATATCAACTTTGAAATTTGACCTAGTTTGACCTGACCTTGACCTGACCTTGACCTGACCTTCACCAGAACATAATCATAACTGACCCCAAAGGCTGCCTGACCCACATAATCGTATTTGGCATATAAAATGGACCATATAACATGCATCACATGATAGGTATTTTCATATTGTGACCCTCAGTGACCTGACCTCTGTAACCTGACCTGGTATCAGTGACCTCAAATAGCAAAATATGTGTTTGACGAACATTTTCCCATCGATGATTTTCAATGAAATGCATTTTACTCGCTTTTTCAACGCATTTCTTGAAATGCCTGTAAACGGTGAAAATTCGACATTTGACCTGACCTGTGTCGTCATCGGTTTGACCTAGGTCAATGAAATTGGGTCACAAGGTAGTTCCCTGATGGGGCTATCCAACACCGTTTGCCGCTTGTCGCTAGGTTGCGTGGTTCTCGAGATCTTAGGGGGGGGGGGGGCAAAATGCCCCCCTCCTCAGCAGGGCGCGTTGCTCTGCAGACCCCAACGGGACGTGTGTCAAGATTTTAAAGCTGTTCTGGAAGTCTCATATTCTATCAAAGTGTCTTGTTTGCGAAAGTTGCTGACCTTCGATATGATCGAAGAGGTAAAATGCATCAAACAATGGAAGCCCGGAATATTAATTATATGAGTTTAAAGCATAATGGATTATGGAAATGGAAGCATACAAAACTAAACTAGTCTTATTTTGACTGATCGGCATGTTTTACATACATATGCAAGTTACCGTTTAGGTTTCGTTTCGCAAGTATATATATTCGGAATAATTAATACAATTATTCAAAAACGTTCTTTATTCTCAACTGCATTGGCGTCTTGAATGAATGTCATGGACGATGGTGTGAATATACGGTATGCTGATAACCGAATCATTAATTTTCACAAAAGCTATAAGAAGTTCCCTCTCAAACCTTTGGAACCCCGGATTCAAGTAGCAATTAGTGTGGTCGTTGGAACATGTGATTGGTACTTCATGGTATTCCGGGAACCGCATCCCGTATTTGGTGCATGGTACTTCAAATATGAAGGACCATGCCGTTCCAACTCGCGTGTTATCTTGCTGACGCAGAGTCCCTCTTGACGAGTAGCGGACACCCCCACGGATTATCTGCCGAGCCCTCTATCCTCCCTCACATTCTGCAAATCACGGCGGGCCCCCGGCGACGGCCGCGATAGGACTGACACGGGCCGCCCGCCGGTGACGGCTGTTGTTGTAGCGCTCCTGCGGTAGTCTCCGGTGCTCGGCGTGTGCTCCGGCGTTGGTCCCCGGTGCTCGGTGTGTGCTCAGCGGCTGAAAAAGGTGCACCATGAGGCCGTCACGACGAGCGCTGCCGGTGCCGCTGCTTCTGGCGGTAGTGCTGTGCGGGGTCGGCTGTCGAGCGGCCCCGGCCCCCGCAGCAGGTAAGGGCAACTGCGGCATAATAGATAGTAGGAGTGTTGCTCTAGGAGTGTAATTAAGGCTCATTATGTCACATTAACGTACTTGCCTTAGCGTGTCTTGTTTTATTGCAACTAAACCCTCGCAGTTGCACCTGTTAGAATTTGCAAATTCGTAGTGAAAACGCCAGGGACGAGATTTAGTACTATGGCATCAGACTTGTGCATTGTGAACTGTGCGATGTGCATTGTGCATTAATCCAAGCATTGGATCGGTGACCTGGGTGGATCTGATTACATAGCTCGAGGCTAGGATCTAAATTTTGTAGTTGAGCCATTCTTGACCTGAGCCATTCAGATTCATGTTATCTATATTTGAGCCATTGGGGATTTTCCACCACGATCTCGTTATTTATTTGGCCTACAGGCATAAGAGCTTAACTATGACTCCATCCATGAATGGACTGGGCAAGAGGCATTAGATACCTACTAATTATTCAAGTGGGATGTTCAGTGGGTTATCGCCACAATAGGATACTGATACCATTGTGAGTGTCGCCTGTAAATTTATAAGATTGATATAACTTCTATAGATATAGAATATACATATAGATGCATGAGCATTGAGTGCATCACTTTGGTGAACACTGCACCTACATAACATACACCAAGGCCGTATATAGGAGGTAAAATGGTTAGCCGTTTGTTTACATCGGTGACATTGACAGATGACGTCAGCGGGTGTCTACCAATCTTCGCCAATATTAACCCTCGCACGACCAGGCCATTTCTCATAACACGAACGACCAGGGGGGGTTGTTACGACCCCCCCCTGGCGTTTCGAAACGGAAGGTCATAGAGCTTAGCGGAAAAAACCAACGGATTGCTCTCAACGAGATCTCGCGATTGGTGGTATATTTTTTGGTCCTAGGTCAACATTTGACCTACTTTTGACCGGTCAAAGGTCAAATTTTCGGAAAAATAGACCTTTTTCAACTTTCCGCGGCGATTGCGGCAAAACGGTGGGAGATATCGACTTGAAATCTTCACTATCGTGTTCCTTGATCAATTCTCTATCGTTTGGTATGTATTTGGTTTCCCTAGCTCTAAAAATGGCGCGTTGGGAGCGCCGGAAGTCGGCAAGGTCACAGTCGGCGGCAGAAATTCGAAAAATCAAAATTTAATTTTTTTAAATCTGATTGTATTTTTGGATTTGGGAGGTCCATTTGCTCCCTATAGAAGCTAATATTGCTGCATATTCCCATTGAGGTGACAAGAATTAGCAAAATAGTGGTTCGGGCGCTTTTCAAAAATAGTACCGGACGCTGTTCCTCTTGTGACGTCATAGCTCCGTGACCTGACCTGACCCGGTCAATTTTCTTGCACCACACGATAGCCAATGCTTGCCCCAACATGCATGGGAAGTTTCATCATGATCCATCAAACAATGTGGGTATCACCGGCAGAAAACCTAGGGATTCGGCGCACACGTTTGGTAACTGTCGGCCGGAGGCTGTACCTCTTATGACGTCATAACTCCGTGACCTGACATGACCCGATCAATTTTTTTTCGGCAAAAGATGCGCAAAGGTTGCCCCAGAGGGTATTGAAAATTTCAGCCCGCTACGACAAGCCGTTTAGCGTGCACTTCGAAAAAACCTCAGAGGGGGGGGGGGGTTGATACAACCCCCCCCTAGGCGTTCTAGGGTTAACCTTCCGAGGATTTTATACTCTAAGGCAGTTTGATATTAACCTTTAGGCTCCCTTAGAGTCTAAAAAATATAATTTACTGCACAGCAAAATTTTGAAAATCGACAAAACCTTGATACCCCGTGACGTCATCTGTCTCCTGAGCCCTCCCTATGTGGCAGCATAGAACCGTAACCCCCTGACATACACATGTGAAGGAGACACATTCAAGACAAGGATGGTGTGATTGCGTCATCTTAAGCTTGATAAGTTGAAAAATTGTTATAAATTGAACACTGGGTATAAATATACAAGTACGCGGTCTCCACGTTTAGAGGAAAGAAAGACTACGCCAGTTGAACAATTGTGGAAAGTTGATAATCATATTTTAATTAGATATCATTGAAATATTTTGACCATCCGTCTTTTTGCTGATGACATAAGGTCTCATAAGTTATTTATAAGAACGGATTCAAAATCTCCGTTTATTTTTACAATCAAATAATATTTAAGCTGAGGCCGATATATGTTTAAAGGAAATATACGACATTTGTCATTCAAAAAGGGGTTTTGAACTGAAATAGCAGTTTTGTAGCTTGGGCTGAGATTAGCACAAATCGGGAGCTTTTACGGCCCAACAATCACCCTAGGCAAAGCCACTCCATTTCTCGTCCCGAAATCATTCCCTTGCGCAGAAATATTTTCTTTACGGAAGAATTCCAAGAATGCAGCCACCTATGGCAGACGCCAATCGTCAGCCAATCAGCATGCAGTTGGTCCGAGCTAGGTGATATGATTGGTTAACCCGCGCCCTGCTGGGGGGGGGGGGGTGT